TAATCCATGAGCATGGTATGTGCTTCCATTCGTTTATCTCTTCCTTAATTTCTTTCTTCAGTGTTGTATAGTTTTCTGAATACAGGTCTTTTACCTCCTTGGTTAGGTTTATTCCTGGGTACTTTGTTTTTCTTGTTGCTTAAAACTTCTGTGCTAATTTTTTATACTTTGTTTTTAGATATATTCTAGCTCACACTTTCTATAACAAGACAACACTGGAGTAGAATTTCAGAAAGAGATGTACTGGCCATCTCCTTGCTGTGTCCTCACATGGCCTTTCCCCTGTTCCTGCATACCTCTGTTGTGTCTTTGCCTTCTTATAAAGACACCAGTCATACTTAATTAGGGTCCGACCTTATGACCTCATTTAACCTTAATGATCTTTTTAAAGGCCAATCTGTAAATACAGTCACGTTGAGGGTTAGGGCTCCAAAATATGGATTTTGAGGGTAGCAATGCTATTAATCAAACATTCTATAATACCTCACCCTTGAAGAAAAAAATAAAATCTCAAGGAGGAAAGTGATGAAGTTATTTATATGTTATATCAAGGTATATACAATATAAATTTATATGTAAATCATTTATATGAGATATCATTTACAAGTGGATACACATGAAATAACCTTTAACTCTATTTTTTTAGCCAGTCTTAATGGAGTACACAAAGATTTAGCAAAGAACCAGCCCAGCAAACTAGCAATTCACACTTCTACATATTGTTTGCCAGAAGAGACAAAGAAAGATCCAAAGTCAAAAATGCCAGATGAGACTGCTTCTCTTGTGTCTGTTTTGAGGTCAGATCTACAGATTTGGCTTCCAAATGCAAAACCAAAAGACTGAGACAGCTTAGTCACAAACATGCAGTGCAACAGAGGCCACTGTAGTGCTGCCACACCGGTGCAAGTCAGAGTGTCCTCATCCCCTCCGCAAGTACAGACCACACTGGTCTTTTCAGAACACTACTTTTATGTTCTGTTGGATCATTGACAGTGTTCCCATTTCTGAATTTTGTAATGTTCTGTGTTAAGAGTACCAGGTTTAGAGACTTCCGGCCAAGATGGAGGCTTAGGTAGATGCACTGTGCCTCCTTGCACAACCAAAACTAAGGACAACAAAAATTTAGAAACAAAAAAACAACCAGAACAGAGAGAAATGAACTGAACAAAAGTCTGACAACCATTCATCCAGACCAGTAAAGAGGGGCAGAGTTGGAGGCCTACAGAGAGGGGTCCCGGCAGGAAAGAGCAGTGGCTGGCAGACACAGGTGCGCAGGGCACAGGCAGCAGTTGGCGGATCCCAGAAGCACAGGGCCAGCTGACAGACCCAGTGGCAGACCCTGGGCATGAAAGGCAACAAGGAGACCCAGCGAGGGGTGCAAGGCAGCTGGCTGTCCGCAGTCACACATTCGCGCACAGATAAACCAGGTGAAAAATAGGCAGCAACACAGACAGCGCAACCCAGGGACCCAGCGACAGGAAACAAAGCCTAAAAGCACTGATTGGAAACACCTGTGGGGGCTGAGGCCAAGAAAATCTCTTAGCCTCACAGGAGAGCTTCTTGGGGAGACCCACAGAGTCCTAGAAAGCACACAAGCCCACCCACCCGGGAACCAGCACCAGAAGGGCCCAATCTGCTTGTGGGAAGTGACAAAGGTGACTGAAGTCCTAGAGAAAGCAGAGCAGGCACCATTGTTCCCTCTCGGACCCCCGCCCCCACATACAATGTCACAACCCAGCGACTGAGGTGCCCCGCCCTGGTGAACACCTAAGGCTCCGCCCCTCATACGCAACAGGAGTGACCAGACCAAAGGGGGCAGGGTGGGGAAGATGGCTCAAACAGAATTAAAAGCCCCTGGGCCAGTACTTTTAAGCAAAGGAGAGATTGCCAACCTATTAGATGCACAGTTCAAAGCACTGGTGATCAGGATGCTCACAGAATTGGTTGATTTGGGTTGCAAATTAGATGAACAAATGAAGACTACAATAAGGGAAATGAAGAAAAATGCACACAGAACCAATAGTGATGGGAAGGAAACTGGGTTTCAAATCAATGGAATGGACCAGAAGGAAGACAGGAACAACCAAACAGAAAAGAATGAAGAAACAAGAATTCACAAAAATGAGGAAAGGCTTAGGAACCTCCAGGACATCTTTAAATGTTCCAACACCTGAATTATAAGGGTACCAGAGGGGAAAGGGAAAAACAAGTGGAAAAGTTATTTGAACAAATAATAAAGGAGAACTTCCCCAATCTGGCAAGGGAAATAGACTTCCAGGAAGTCCAGGAAGCTCAGAGAGTCCCAAAGAAGTTGGACCCAAGGAGGAACACGCCAAGACACATCATAATTACATTACCCAAGGTAAAAATGAAGGAGAGAATTCTAGAAGCAGTAAGAGATAAGGGGACAGTTACTTACAAAGGAGTTCCCATCAGAATGTCAGCTGATTTCTTAAAAGAAACCTTGCAGGCAAGAAGGGACTGGAAAGAAGTATTCCAAGTCATGAAAGGCAAGGACCTACATCCAAGATTGCTCTATCCAGCAAAGCTATCTTTTAGAATGTAAAGGCAGATAAAGTGCTTCTCAGATAAGGTCAAGTTAAAGGAGTTCATCATCACCAAGCCCTTATTATATGAAATGTTAAAGGGACTTCTCTAAGAAAAAGAAGATTAAAAATATGAACAGTAAAAAAAGACATCAAACTCACAGTTAGTAACAACCACACCTAAAACAAAAGCAAACTAAGCAAACAAATAGAACAAGAACAGAACCACAGAAATGGAGATCACATGGAGGGTTAGCAACAGGGGAGTGGGAGGAGGAGAGAGAAGGAAAAGGTATAGAAAATAAGTAGCATAGGCAATAGGTAGAAAATAGACAGGGGGAGGGCAAGAATAGTATGGGAAATGTAGAAGCTAAAGAACTGATGACACACAGACATGAACTAAAGGGGGGAATATGGGTGGGAGGGGGTGTGCAGGGTGGAGGGGAGTGAAGGGAGAAAATGGGACAACTGTAATAGCATAATCAATAAAATATATTTTAAAAAGTAAAATAAAATAAAATTTATATAAACATTAAAAAAAGAGTGCCAGGTTTAGTAAATAAATATAAAGGGTGCCAGTTAAATTTGAATTTCAGATAAACAATTAATACTTTTTAGTATAAATATGTCTCATGAAATATTTGGGACATACGCAAGAAAAGTATATTTCATCATGGGACATACTTATACTAAAAATAGTATTTGTTATTTTTCTGAAATTCAAAATTAACTATAGGCCCTATATTTTATCCAGAAACTTTACTTTGGGTTCAAGAATGAATCCTCTCCTTGCAAATCCATTCCCCAACCACCACCCTTTTAAATTACTATTGCCAACTTTGTAAATTTAAGTTTCTGGTGTTAATGTGGTTCTGCCCCAAAGATGCAATCCCCAGGTTTCAGACTGTTCTATTATACTACTATATAAATGGTTATGAATACTTAGTGTTAAAATATTAAAGTTAGTTTGGCTGAACTTTTCTCTCATGTTGAAGTATTTACATCTTTATATCAATGCCCCATAATACTACTGTGATGAAATTACTAGAGATGATGTGCTTAATAATGTGGGGAGGACTCTCTAAACCTATAAATCTCTAAACCCTGGTATCAGTCTACTCACCTGTAAATTCAGGTGATTGAATTCAAGGTATTTTCCCCAAGGTTCCTACTACCAATTTCTTGCTACAATTCTTTTAAATGAAGGTTCCATTAATGTTGGCATTTGCTTGGTAAAATCTAATTTTTCCTATTTCAGTGAATCTATTTTTCTCTTCAATTAAAAGTAGTGTTTAGATTACTAAATAAGTAGCATTTAGATGACTCAATTAATGGCTTCACCTTTAAAGATGTTTGATCTAAATTACTCAAGTGCCAAAGAATGCACCCTTTATTTCCTTCCACCCGACTCTCCCTGGTACCAGACTTGGTGCACAGTGGGTATCAGATGAAAGTGCTGACCGTGTTGAAAGTTTCATTATAGTGGGTTCTGACTGTTGAAATCATTTGAACAGAAGCCGTCTCCTCTGTGTGAGACCTCTGTCTGGGGCAGCTCGCTGTTCTCTTCCGCCATCTAGTGGCTCCAGGATTGCTCTCGTCCCCTCATCTTGCTTGCTGTTCAGAGCTGCAAAGATTTCAAAGATTGTAAATCAAACAAATGAATTGTTTTATTCTTGTCGTTAGAGTAAAAAGGGATTTGTAGTGTTTCAAGAGATAAAATGTTATAAATGTTGATAAAAATAAGTGTAACAAGATAGCCAACTTTAATACCTAAATAGTATAGATTAAATTCATTCCATTTAATCTCTTTAATATATTCAGATGTTAACTTGAATTTGAAGAACAAAAATATGAACTAGCCTAAAAATGTTATAAAGAAAGATTATCCTTCTCAAGTGCTCTTGTATAATGTTGAAGAATTTTTTAATTTAAAATAAACGTAATCACAGCAGATGAAAATGAAAGCGGGAAAGGAAATAAGGTTCTGATAAACACTGAATTGGTAGAGAATGTCACAGTTCTATATTTAACCATTTGTCTTCAATTAAGTTAGAATTTATTATCATTATTATTTATACATGCAATGTAATGTTTAATGAATGTTGAATGATATTTAGTTTTAATGTCCTATAATCTAGAACTTTCTTCAAACAGCATGATGGTGTGTTTAATTGTGTGAATCTAAAGTGAAAATAAATTTCTCTAATGAATGAAATAAAATATTTCTGAAGTGTGACTTATTCCCCATAAAATCTGTTTCCACTGAATAACTATTATAGAAGAAATATTTCTGAGATATTAACATTATTCTGTTTTTTTTTAAATTTTTACTCAAAATGCCAATACTGTAGTGCAGTATTTAAGTCTTTCTAACAAAAAAATATTTAATTGGAGGGTTATTTTGCTTTTAATACACTTGTGAGCCAGCTGAGAAATCTTCCATTTGTTTTCCAGGGTGGGAAAATACCCATAAGGTGGACAGCCCCAGAAGCTATTGCCTACAGAAAATTCTCCTCGGCAAGCGATGCCTGGAGCTACGGCATTGTCATGTGGGAGGTCATGTCCTATGGAGAGAGACCGTACTGGGAAATGTCTAACCAAGATGTAAGTACTGCCGATAGCTGGGCTGCCATTTTGTGAGGGTAAACACAACAGCACTGAGGGGAAAATGTGCCTTTTGCCCTCACTCAGATTAAGGCTTATCTTCCTGAGAGTTGTTCGGGGCCTGTGGCTGAATTTGAAGAGCTAAGTAACTTCATGCTGAGCTGTATTTGGTGTCACAGGGTCCAGCTGATGGTCTTTGCCATGTGAGTAGATGATGCACATCCCACCTCTGAGACTTTCACACACATTGTTCTAATGCAGCATAATTGTGCTTGCACTGCTTTAGACCTACAAGGGACAAACAAGAAAGAGTAATGTTTACCTGTTGTTCCTTAGGGCAATTTAATGTACCACTGTAAACAGCAAAGTAATTTAGACTACATATTGCTTAGTGGGAAAAGAGTGAATGCTTTCAGGCACTGTATTATCTATATATGCCATCGGGTATGCCTCTCTAGAGATAGATACATGACCCTTTATGCAATCGGTTTTGTTTCTGTTGTATTCATAGAAGCTACCTTGTGGTAAATAACACTACAGAATAAGATGGTTAACATCCATTTGACCCCTATGACCTGTCCAGAGTGACAGAGTAGTCAGAAAATGAGAGTACTTTGGCTATGCAAATAAGTGTGCTGTCAGATCTGAAAATATATTTTAATTCCCAGCTTCCTCACTGCAGAACTCACACTCATCCCATTTATTTGCCTTCTGCAAAGTATCTATGGTTTCTGAGACAATGGCAACAAAAAAATCACCTCTGATGGGATTCTGAATGCTCACAGTTGACAACAAAGACAACGTAGCTATAGAAAATCCCTGAATGCACTCAGAGTATGACTACTATCACATCTCCTTCCTTTTTTCTAGTCAGTTGCTTGAGCAACCCCTCCACACCTCACACCTCACTGATCCATCTCAACTTCAAGTTGTCCAAGTATCTGAAGAACTTAGTCATGAAGTTTATCCTTTCTTAATGCCAAGTGTAGAGAAGACTGGGTTTGGGTTAGCTCATTGTGGCTCCTATTACTCCCTGCCCTCAAGCGTTACTTTTGAAGCTGAGTCCTGCTGGGTCCTGTGGATGTCCCCTCACTCTGTGGAGAATGCCAGATCCGGAAACCTATGTGGCAGCAGGTTTGAGGTTGTACACACCGGTCAATCATCACTCGCCAAAGCCTACCATCAAAGCACAAAGCCAGAGTGACCAGGTCCTGCAGGGCATCTCTGCCTTTGAAGTAACAGAATGTCCTGTAACCAGCGACCTCTGCTCCACTTACAACACCCAGACTTTGGGATCCAGATCATTTGCCTAGAGTCTCTCTACTATTCTTCAGGAAATTTTAATTGAAGGAAATCATTGCTCTTCCCTGCCACTGGGCCTTGTTTGGGACAGCTTATAACTATTGCTCCAGACATTAAAATAGAATGTCAGAGGCAGAAACTTACCCCTTCAGTCCCAGAAGGAGCTCTTTTTTTTTTCTTAACCAGTAATCCAAAGTAACAGAAGCCGTGAACTCAGCACCACGTCTCCTGTTCCACTCTAACCCCAGATCATGCTTGCCCTCTTATTCTGCTTTGACCTGATAAAGTAGGCCATTCAAGCAAATCTCCAAAATAAAAAACTCCTCCTCCAGATGAGTTTGAGTCTTCACTGAACAGAAGAGCTCTCCCTTCAAGTACCCTACTTAACTGGCACCCCATTTAGTCTTTGCAATAACCACCTTAACCAGTGTCCTGACAGACTTCAAATGAAGAATTGCCTAACTCAGAAGCCTCCAAACTTTACTAATAAATACACTTCTCAATAAAAAGTTCTTGAGCATTTGCAGCTGATGATATTATATATATATATATTATATATAAGAACTACTATACTGATATAGTCATGTATTAACTTAAAAATATTTATTAGGTGACTTCTCTGCTTCAAGAACTAGAGATACAACAAAAAAAATGTTACACCCAGAAGGGATCATGAGGATTATTTAGTTCAACCCAAGCCCAACTTGATTATGAAAATGAGGCACAGAGAAGTGGCATGATTTCCATAAAATTACATAATAAGGGATTTAATAGTGATCTTAGAAGACAATGCTAATCAACTTCTAAAATAAGTCAGGGGCCAGGAGAAGAGAAGAGGGAATAACTACTTCTTTCCTGGTGGTTTGGGTTTTATAGTCCATGTGCCTCCTTGTGTGGGCCCAGTGACTTCCTGCCCTCGTGGAGCTTACATTCTAGTGAGAGGGAGACATGCTGTAAACAATGTAAATAAGTAAAAGATCCAGTATGTAAGAGGATAATCAATGCTTTGGGGGGAAAGCAAGAATGTAGGATAAGAAATGCTGGGAGTTTGATTTTAAGTATATCATACATGTTATAAAATACATTCATCAAATTCACTCCTTCATGTTCATAAAAGTCCTAATTAATCATTCTTATTAGTCCTTCATAAATAGTCATTCTTATAATAGAATAAGACAAATAAGCATAAAGAGAAGTTCCATTGTTTTTCCTGCCCCCGATTATTGTCTCACTACCTGGGGTACATTGTACCACAGATTTAGTAACCACGGCCATCATCATGGAGACTATAATCATCCATGAAAGTCACTTAACTTTTCAAAGTGCCTGAGTTTCATGACCAATAAATACAATAAAAGGACTGGGTTAAATGATTTGTAATATCCCTTTTAACAGGAATATTACATGCTATTATTTTATAATGTCTGCAGAAATAGTTACCATACTTCACTCAACAAAGGAATGATTCAATTTGTTCTTTTCTGAAATTTAAGACATGCCTGAATTGCTATGGAAGTGCCTAGAATGAGACAGGGCTTCCACAGAGCAGAGCAGGTACAAGTGAAGATACCAGATGAAACAGGGTTTGGCTTTTTTCCCCCCTAGGAGAGCGACCTCTGAAGGAAAAGGCTCAAATGTGAGATTTCCAACATAGACCCCAAATGTCAATTGTTGCCTAGAATAATCCAAACATTCTTGTCGATGCATTTCTTCCTGGATCTTGCCCAACAGTTTACCCAGCCATTCTGGCCATGGATAATGATGAGCTATAGTCAAGATGACCATTTAGAGAGCACTTCTGTGTACTAAACCTCATTTGGCCACAAAGACTATATCTGGAACCAGGAAGCTACTATAGCCAGGAACAGACTCTCAACATTAAGCCATTCTCATTCATGCAGGATTGCTGGTGCTCACAGCACAAGGCTGAACTCTCTCCACCAGCAGCTGGGTTGTTTTTCAAGGACCAGATAGGAGTTAAGCTGGCTATCTGCACGGTCTTCGAGTGGTTACTAAAGTATATTCAAGCAAGAATCTGAAAATTAGAGAACAAGTTCCGGAGATGGAGGCAAGGGATGTGGGAAGAAGCCAAGCCTTTGAGGTCCTAAGGTCAATACAAGACTAAAGGAAAAGAGTGAAAATCTTTTACAAATCTTGTGATTTTTTCCACTGCAGTAAAAAGAGTTGAAATTCTGTTTGGCTTAATATGTAGGAAGTTAGCATATCTGTGAAAATCGTGTAACCAGAATTTCCATTTGGAAGCTTAATGAAAACTTTCCCAGGTGCTCTTCCCCAAACACCGGTTATTCCCTGTCTTACTTACATTTCTTATTTTTGTGGTCAATGTATAATTTTATGTTTGACTTTCTGCAACCAAGGTGCATTTTAAATAAGGAAAGTGATGTTTTAGACAATAAAAATTCAACTATGTTCTGTTTGAATATTTTATATTTTTACTACAGTTTGATGAGTTTAACTGAGCTATGGCTTAATTAAATGTGGAATGCTAACATGCTTTATGATTTTAAATGAGTTTAGGAACTTTCACATAGTTTTAATGAAAGAGTCCCTCCATTCTGCAGACTGTGGCATATTTTATTACTACAAACAATTCTGAGCTTGCAGAATTTGTTTTAGTGAATAATATACGGTTTCCCAAAGGTCAGTAGTATTGTATGAAAAGGAAATGAGAAAAATAGAGTGCACCAGACTAGTCCATTAAAGGCCTAACAAACATAACAGCAAGTGCACATGCCAGTCACTGGGCCAGGTGCACATGTGGCTGGGGATGGAGAATTAGAAAACCCAGTCCTCACTATCAAGGAGCCCAGTATGTAGGTGAGGAGATGAAGTTCTGGCATTTATAAAGCTTTCCTCTGCCACCAAATAGACTGTACACACCTCAAAGGAAGAATTCATGATGTCTACCTTTTTTAAAAATTGATTTTAGAAAGAGAGAGGAAAGGAGGGAGAAAGAGGGGTGTTTGTTTTTCCACTTATTTATGCATTCATTGGTTGATTCTTGCATGTTCCTTGACCAGGGATCAAACCCACAACTTTGGCATATTGGAATGACACTGTAACCAACTGAGCTCTCCAGACAAGGCTTCCTACCTTTTTTAAGTAGAAATAACATTGTGTGAATGCAGCATCACAATTTTAAAAATATATACCAAGAAAGCATGCATACTCTATTATTCTGGTTCCTTTTGATTATAAGTGACAAAAAGTAAAGGCAAGTGAAGGTAAAAATAAACTTTTTTCATGCATGAGACTAAGAAGATAGCTTAGCAGTGCTCCATCTCAAGGACCATGCAGATTTTTAGTGCTTTTCTGGGTCTGTTGACCTCATTTTCTCCTACTGCAAAGGTCTTCTTTGTTTTATCCTTCTTTATACTCCAGAGTTCAGCATTCCAGCAGAAAAACCTCAGCAAAATGAAACCTTCTGTCTGTGAAAATTTATGTGCCAATACCAGCGAATTCTGGTTGACTCTGTTAGGGCCCTGCCCAGCCCTGAACCAAAATCATGCCAGGAAATGGATACTATGGTTGCCCCAGCTGGATTGATATACCAGCCTATGCACTGAGAGGTGGGGGAAACACTGTGATTGTCAATTTCCCCAAAATCACATGGAGTGAGGAATTCCCCAAAGGAAAGCATTTGTGTTGCCAGAGGTATACTATGTTGTCCTTTTTCA